AAGGATTCCATTGCACATGGCTTCTAATATACAACCCCTAATTAAGCTTTTATATGACAAAAAAAAAAAAAAAAAGAAAAACCTTCTTTTCCTATATGGTTTAATTGGGCTTTTACTTTAAATCTATGAAATAGAATCCTTCTTTTTTTTTATTTTAATTTGTTATTTTAAATTACAAGTTCTCATCAAATGACCCCATGAAAAGCATATTTGTTTTGTGTTTGGAGGAAAGAGAGCATCTCAAGCGTTTCGAGTCTACATCCAACACTTATTTGGGTCATCACAGAATTTGAAACTAAGGAAAATGGTATTCACTCCATGCATTAAGTCATCATGAAGACTTTGGGCTGTTGAGCATTTGGGGTCACCTTTTTTTACCTACCCCATTACTTTAGGGGTGTGAGTGTGACATTAAATCTCATATATATTTCTGTGACTGAAACTACATTGTTCTACAATGTCAAACACCTTGATAGTATTAACCCAGCATGGAATTATCAATCTGGCCCACACCATTCTTATGTTTCTTGAAAGAAAAACTGAGAGAGGAAGAGACGTGGCTAGTAACTGCAATGCAATAAGTGGCAGAGGAGAATTATTAGGACAGGTTAGGTAAGAGTGAAAAATGAGAATTAAAAGCTGGTAGTGGGGAAATAGGAAGAAGCATACGTGCAAATGTGGAGATGAAACATGCAATGGTGTCAGGGTATGGGCATGGTGGTGGAGGTAGAGGTGATGATACTGATAGGTGTGGTAGTGGTGACGGAGACAAGGGTGATAAAGATGGTGATTGTGGTTTAGAGGGGGAGAAGGGACTAGTGCCTAGTGGTGGTGGAATATGATTTTGGTTAATGGCATATGTCTTATACCGTGTTTGAGATTTGGCTTACCACTTGGCCTAAGTCCATTGATTCATTTATGGACACTTCTTTGACAAAACTAGATCATTGGTTCAATTTGATAAATCACTTGAATGGGTGAGATGAATATGTTGTTTTGAAAAAACCACTTTGATACCCTTGAGTTTTTTGGTTTATTTGATATATTATTCGTACGGCCAACATCGATTCAAATCTTGGTAAATCATCACTGGAATGATCTGGATATTTTTTTAACCCTAAATTTCAATATTTTTGAACCGCTGTTGATCTGGATGGTCGGACCGTTTGGCCTGAGAATTGTTCAGACAACCGGTTTTATTTTATCTCAAATCCAGTTTCTAACTAAAAATCATTGAATTGGTCAATGATTCATTGATTCAAGCGATTGAACCGTTGATTTATTCAATAGTTTTTTGTCTTTTTTTAATTTTAATTATTATTTTTTAATTTTTTAATTATTTGTTAGAACAGGCCATCCATTCAAACCTAATGGTCTAACTGTCAACCCAAAAACTGATGGCCAAAAGTTCCAAATCATTTTTTTTAAAACATTGCTAAACTTTGCTCCAGGCGGAGAGGGGTGGCTATCTTAAATTTTTATTAACCATTGAAAAGCTATATAAAATACAAGGAGGACATAATCCACTTCACCCACTAATCTAGTACAAACTCAACACTGCCCCTATTACAATAAAAAAAAACATACAAACGTAAAGCTATAAAAATTCAAGAAACAGAGCCCAGAAAAATTAAGCAAGACTATACATAATACCCTTCAACAGAGTTGAAAGACATGTGCGAGGTTGGTCAGTACTATCATATATAAATCTTAGGAGGCCTCACTTTGACCTAGATTTTGGATTGATTTAGTACCTTGTTTGGGCAGCTATACCACTTTAAAGGCACGGTATATCATTTAGATGGATGTGATTAATTTACTAATCTTACGAGCCAATGGCTATCTTAGGTCATGTGGCACATCATTCTATTCAGAGAAGGTTTTTAAGAAACTTTGGTGCATTACTTAAATAGCCCAAATCAGTGGAAATCTTGTACATGATTTGGACGGTCAAAACTGAATGGTTGCAATTAGGAGGTCACTTTGATTAATTTGATACATCATTTATCATAATGTTTTTAATTACGGCTTACAATTCTTGAATTAAACCTGATGAACACAACTTGAATTCTCAATAGGCACGAATTTCAATGATTTAAGATATTTTATAAAGCAAGGTATGGACATTTTAAAGTGTCCTGCTACAATTAATGTAGATCGTGTGAACATGAACACATATACGTACATGGTCCATTATGGATCTGTTCATTTGCTGATATCTTGTGAGTGGTAAGTTGGTCAATAGGGGTATTAATAATTGATAGTTTTTTGGAGGATGAATAACTTGTTTTGATGTTTTTAACCCGTTATTCACTCGGTTGGTTGAATCATTTGAATTGTAATTCGGCTAAAATTTTGAGTTTAATTCAGTTATAAGACCCGTTAGATAGTAAAAAATTATTGACTTGGTTAAGAATCGTTTGACCTAATTGATTTGACCGTTGATTTATTTAACCGGTAATTAGGTCGCAAGTTGCATATTGAATATATATAAACTTTCGAAAATCATAATTTTACACTCTAATATCCTATTGAAATGATTTTTTTTTTTTGATAACTTTTTAATACCTATAACCTCCGTTATTTTCGTAGAAAAATACCTTTTTTAACTTCAAATTACAATTTTTAATATTTTTATAAATAAAAAATTTAAAACATTGAATTGTTTATCTACCTGTCGATAACGCTCTCCCCCTTCCATCCGCCTCTTTACCCAAATAAATTACATCACACATAACATAAACTGAATTTACCCAAACAACTGTTTGTTGGAGGTAAGAAGTAACACAGGCTGCACTTCAGGATTGAAAAACGTTGACCGATAAATTTCATTCTACGTTATTGATTATAATTTTACAACACTTTTAAATCTTTGTCCCAAATAAACTTACTAAGCAAATAAGTTAAAACAAACGAGGCATATATAAATTTAAAGAGTGAAGTGTCACAAAAACGAAAAACACCCTCCCCCCTTAATAGTAATAGGGTTAAAACTCAATTGAAAACAGATGTGGGATAAAGCGGTCATCATGCTATAGGGTATGAGCTCTCGCGTCCATGGTTTTCAAAACCAGATTGGACCGACGGTCAGATTGGAAAAATCGGGAATTGTTTGCCTGACTGGTTCTGTTTTTTCTTAAAACTATTTTTTTCTTTAAAATGTTGATTTTGATAAATAAATGGCTGAGTCAAATAGATTAATCGCTTGAATGGTTTTGACTGTTTTTCAATTTTTTTATCAAAATGAACTGATTATTTGGGTCGAACCTGATAACGGACCTTTGACCGGTTCGGTTTTAAAAACCATGCTCGAGTCTGCCTTCACCGGAACGAGACAATCCCAAAAGTCCAACCAGAACCTCCCATGTGTCAATACGTAAGTACTTTTATTATTATTATTATTTTTTTTCGGTAAGACAGTATATCACTATTCACTAGCTTTTGGTTTATTATCGCGTCTTCCGCTCCTTCTTTCATAAAGGTAGTGAACCCGGCGTGATTGACGGTTGGTTCCATATCCACTTTAGACGGAAGAAGAACAATATCATTCTTGACGAAAATACCCTTCTCTAGAAGAAAATCATCATTTTTCTTAGTGTTCCTGCCTTCCTGGTCCAATTCCAATCTAGTTTGTAACAACTGACATTATGGGCCCATATAACGGGCGAACTAGATCAATAAAGAAGTATCCCCTGTTAAAAGAGACATGTAGATATTACTAACAAGAGGCAACGTGGACCCACAATCACATGATGATGACACTTATCAGGACCATCCTACTATCCTAGCCCTCATCCCCACTCTCCCACCACCATTATACAACAGGGGCGGACACGTCTTTTCCGTTTCGCGAACGTGTTGACGAAAGCGAGCGTCACTACACTCTGGTAACTGCTAGTTCTTGGAATAAAGTTGAGGTTAATTTTGTCACTGAAAATAAATAAACATCAGTGGCTTTCCGGAAAATATCCATAAATCTAATTTTCAATTTTCAAATAACAAATAGACGGCTGGATTCGACCACCAGGTTTCCCGGGAACTGACTCCTGAGTATTAGTAAGAAAATGAAAACGACTCGTTTTTTTTTTATTTCCTAATCTTCCAGATTACCAGCTCACCAGGTCCTTCGTAATGCTTACTGAGCCCGGAGCCGACCGTTCAGTGCATTATAAATGCTTTCCTAAAGCACAAAGTAGTGATTAGTGAATTGCCAAACACAGGTCTTGTTCTTCTACCCTTTTGGCCAACTTTGATACCTGACTCCATCAAACCATGTTTTTTTATTTTATTCAAGAGAATGGTGTGATCTCGGATAAGGTGGTGGGAGTGGGAGTGTGGGACCTAGAAAGGAGGATCCATCATCATAAATCTGTGAAATTACAAGTATGCCACGTGTATTTGACTCGTGATTTTGTTCCCAGTTCCCACGAGGCTTTCAATAATTCTGACTGAGACGGAAAAGTAAAAAGTTGGGGGTAGCGTCCACACTTCAGAAGCAGAGTTACTGCTTTTTAAAAAGTCACAACCATCATCATCCCTTCGTAGCGTACTGGGTCCCACTGCTTGGATATCGTACGACAATGGATAACGAAGACAAGCCGGTTGCCAAGGACAGACACCCCGTGCATTAATTTTCTTCGCTGCACCGACAAAACGAAAGATTCCCATTCATCAACAACTTAACCTAAATAAAAGTTTTTTCTCGCGCTGTCCTTCGGTTGACATGAAATATAATGAAAACTGCAACAGTTAAAACTGTTCATGAGTAGGTTTTGCATTCTGCACGGCTCGTTCAGAGTTCAGAGCAACACATTTCAGTTCACTTCCCTCAATTTTGTATTTTGAGGCTTATCTTGGACAACGTCAGCGTAACGTGTTTCCGCTCGCTTGGAAACTAAATTTACCTGTTGAGCAGGTCTCAGGTACGAATTTACCGAACTAGATTTTTTAACCCCGTACAAGTAATATAAATATGATAGAAAAGAAACGTAAATGGGCTCCGACAATCCTGCCCTCACTCATTACTCGCTACCCTCCCATTGCTCAGATAGAAACCAGCGAGAAAAGCCCTCTATATGCTCAAATTCCAAAATCCGAGCTTGTCGCCATTACTTTAATGGCGATTGGCAGAACAAAGAGAAAGCCAGCGTATCTTCTATAAAATTCAAAGGAAGCAGAGGACCCTGACGAAAGAAAGCGCGTTATAGTATTGGACCTGAGCTGTTCTCTGAGATCAGACTCCTTTTCGGTTTCTCCCACGCTACGTCGCTACGGTCTGGTTCAAAATGCTGGCAACTACAGTCAACATGAATTTTCGCTTTCTTCCGACTCTCGCTCGCCGAAATAATGTTATTGCGTGATTCTGATCTCTCAGCCCAGCCTTCAAAGATCTCCATCTCACTCATGGATCTGTAATGGTTCTGAAGCTCCTTCGAGCATTCGAGCTTCTCACGGTAAGGAAACAAGATCAGATGAAGAATATGTATTTATCTGTAAATCTTTGCCGTAGTTTTCGCCGAGATTTGTTTTCCTTGAAAATCTATTGGAGATTTACCGAATTAACTGCTTTTCACTTTCATTCACTTAATCTGAACCATCTTTTTGTTTTATATGTTCTAATTTCGCAGGTTGAAGCTCAATAAGACAGAGACCACTTAAAGTCTAGAAAAATCGGAACTTTGCCTCTGAAAATGGGAAAAACAGGGAGAGATTGGACGCAGATCTACGCGATCTACGGCATGGACGAATGGCAAACACTAGTTTTCCTCTTAATCCATGCGATCGTCTTCTCCTTTCTCTCTGTGCTGTTCCTAATCTACTTCAATCCTGTTTGTTCGGTCTTCCAATCCATCTTCCCTGCTCTTCCCGCTGGAGCACCTCGCTTCATCGCCGGCTTCATCGGCTCCGTTACGGCTCTCTCCGCCGTCTGTTTATTTTTTGCCGCCGGCAACATCTTCTACTCGTCCGTATCCCTCCACTGGGATATGGCCCAGCGTATGATCAACGTAGTCAGCGATTGGTCAACGGTCAAAACAGCCCTAGACGTCGGATGCGGTCGTGGCATCCTCCTCAATGCAGTGGCGCTACAGCTGAAGAAGGAAGGCAGTTCCGGTCGTGTCGTCGGCCTCGATCGCCGGAAGACGGCGGTGGCGACCCTGCGGACGGCGGGGGTGGAAGGGGTCCAGGAGTACGTGACGTGTAGGGAGGGTGACGCGCGTCGGTTGCCCTTCGCCGATAATTACTTCGACGTGGTGGTGTCGGCCGTGTTTTTGCATACAGTGGGGAAGGAGTTTGGCCATCGGACGGCTGCGGCAGCGGCAGAAAGGATGAAAGGTTTAGGGGAGGTGGTGAGGGTGCTGAAGCCCGGTGGGGTGGGAGTGGTCTGGGATCTGGTGCACGTGCCAGAGTACGTACAGAGGTTGCAGGAGTTGCGCATGGAGGACATACGCGTCTCGGAGCGGGTGACGGCTTTCATGGTAAGCAGCCATATCGTATCGTTTCGGAAACCAAATCACCACTTAGTGGGCCCGGCGGAGGTGAGGGTTGATTGGAGGTTTACCAACTTGTGTTAACTTCTTTTTTCCCCCCTCTTAATACCAGAAAAAAAAAATGAGCGCAAAAGACGAAAAATAATGAAAATTTGAATCTGGGGAGGCGAAGTCGAACCAGATTTGTTTTTCTTCCTTTTTTGATTTAAGCTACAAGCCTACAATTAGGGAAAAAAACACAAGGAATATAATGTTGAATAGATATGTGTATGATATAGCAATTTCGTGTGTAATGTCCTGTGTTCTGATAGGATGAAGTGTCATAACTCATGTGTAGAGTAGCTTAAAGTCGATTGATCGTACGGTGGAAATTTAGGATGGTAAATCCTGAAGAAATATAAATAACTAAATCTGTAATAGGACAATAAGGTGAAGAACATTTAACATGAAGTTAATATGAACAGAGCGATATTGTTATTGTAGAAATGGGAGTGTATTTATAATTTAGGATAACATGAAATTGATGCAATGAAAATGGTCATGATGAATGTTTGGAGTTAGGGATGCAATTTTTACAGGTTAAGGTTGGGATTTTGTCGGAATTTCAATGGTCCAACCTGAAACAATCCTAATTGCACCTGGAAGAATTGGGATACTCCTAGCATAAATCTCACAGTTACATCTCTTCGTGTACTGGGAATATCTTGGGTGAATAATAAATGTAATTATGGGAGATGTTGTTCAATGTACAGTCAGAAACTCAGAACATACTATAAGCCTATAAGGTCAAGAGCACTCTGAGGAGCATATCCGGGTTCTATTTCGAGTGGATGGTGGTCGCGGAAGGGATCTGCTACCGTTACAACGGTAATATCTCCCTTTGTCATTGGTGGGGAGATGTTCTGATGTATGGTTGACGCCGTGTTGGTGTCCGTCGCTCTACATAACTGATTTGTGGCGTGATTGGACAGTGGGACCACCAATAATGTGGTATACGTATGTTGGTGGTGGGGTAGTGCTCGTACTAAATACTAATTTATGATTGCTATTTTATGCCGGGAGCTGCAATGTTTTCACGTCTCTAACCACGAGATATGACAATTGCATATTGGGAATATGATGGTGGTGGTGCTCTGTGGATATGGTTGTACTTATGGTAACAGATACCGGAGTGGCAAATGAGATTTTGGCGTAGAGTTGGAGGTTAGTCACTACCTGCGGGTAGAGGTATAATACGGTCTGTGTGCGGGTGGCCCATACTAAGTGCAGGTCGTGCCGCTTTCCAGCATAGCCCAGCATAGCCCATGGCCTAAGCCAGTAAGGGCCTATGTCATGCCATGGGTTGGATTGGTCTGTGGGCAAAGTTTTGGGTCAGGCTGGGTCAAAATTATTTATTTAAAAATTTGAATGAAAGTTGAAATTTTAATTTTATATAAATTTTGATGTATGTAATTGCTTATATATACAATAATTAAATATAATTAATATAATAAAATTGAAAATAATAATTTATTTTATTAATATATTATATACTATATATTATTATATAATTATAATTTATATAATATATAATATATTATGTATAAATATATAAAACTTCAAACCCATTACAGCCCATAGAAATACGGCCCAATTTACGTCTTTACCTGCGAAAAGATGGTAGAATATGCTTCCAACTCCCCCAACACTTTTCTTTTTTATTTTATTTTATTTTTTTGTAATAAGAGTCATCCACAAGGTTTTGGCGTGGCAGCCAACACTCTGCCATTTGGTGTTTGAGCGGGGACTTTTTTTCTATTTTAGAAAAGAATTGAATTGGATTGTGTGCGGTCTGTGTTTTGTGTTGTGTTTCTTTGAACTGTTCTGTTAAAAATATGGAAATGCTATCCAAACAAAAGCTAATCTACGAGAACATCTCTGGGACGCTTGATGCAATGGGGAGCCCCTCACAGAGTTTTGGCCTTTAGGGTGGAGTTTTTGGCCTAATGCAACAGGGAGCCCCAGCCAATAATCAAAATTAATTTTCAGTGACGCCGTATATCAACAGATTCAACACCCAAAAATCATTTTTTTGGTTACTTGAGCTTAAAGCCGTGAGCTTGTGATTATTTTGTAATTTGGTGCATGGTTTTGAAAACTGGTCCAGACCAGATGGTCTGACCCATTAACCCAAGAATCAGTGAGGTAATCGGTTCCGTTTTACCCTAAAATCATTTCATAGGTTAAAAATTGTTGATTTGATGAATGACCTGCTGACTCAGGCAATCAAATCGTTGATTGGACAATGTTTTGTTGGCCGTTTTTTCATTTTAATTATTTTTATTTATAAAAATCAGAATGAATCATTCATTCGGACCGAACAGACTGTTTGACCCGAGAATCGGTCCCCTAAACAGTTTCATGTCCGATCCAGTTTTTAAAACCTTAATTTCGTGAATCGTAATAAAGCATACGGAACAAAAGTTATGAATGTCTGAAAGGATCCAAATTTATTATCCCATCATCATATGGGATTGCATGATAGGTAGGCCATTGGAGATTTTAAACAACATTTTAGTGGTCCATACGAGTGAGCGAGCTCGGATCTGGGGCAACCCACACCCTAAAACAATCTTCTGTAGCTTTACTTAGCACCTTTAATAAGAGCTCTTAATATGGGCCTCAGCCAGATTCAACCCAAGTTCCGATCTTGAAATTAGAGTTGTAAATTGGATCGGGCTGCCTGTGGCCTGAGATGATGGCATATAGGCCGTGCCAGGTACGGTACGATCATATGGGTTGTGCTTGGTTGGGGGTTTCAGGTCCATGGCGGATACGGCATGGCATGACTTTGTGTGCCATGTCGCCCACAGCCCACGTACTAGCACAGCTCCGTTGGCCCAGCCCGGCATGACCTATGGACCCGCAATGGGCCAAACGCGACCCTCCCGAGGAACTAGCCATTCTAGCCCTTGGGGAATCCCCCAAATGGCTAGTTTTAGCTTTTTTAGGGTTTTTTTATAGAAATACCCCTCAATTAACAACTATTTATGTATTTTGGCTTCGGGGGGGGGGGGGATAGTAATGCCCCTTCAATAGCTATATCCTATAATATAACATCTAGTTTGTAGGTTGGGACTTTGGGAGCATTTGGGTAAAGTGATAAATGACTTTATAATGACCAAAATACCCCTTTCAACAATTAAAAAAAATAGTTAGTTTTTAGGGTATTTTGGGCAATTGATTTATTTTCAATTCTTATAAATAGCCCCTATCCTCCATCAAATTCAGCAATTCTGAATTCTCTTCTCAATTCTTCATTCCCATTATCTCATGCTCTCTAAGTCTCTCATCTCATACTGTCACAGTGTCATACACTTAGCAATTTAGGAGGCTTTGGCCTTTGAGCCTTCAACTATTGAAATTAAGTTGAGGTTCTAAACCGGTAATCCAGCCATCCATAAGTGTAATTCAATTAATTTTGTTTTTTTTAGAATTAAAAAGTGGCCAATTCTTCCTCCCGAAACCAATTCCCCAACATTAAGTTCACTAATCCGATTTAGAAAGTATTTAAAATAGAGGAGGTTGAGAGGAAGGGAAAAACAGCCGTTTAACAAAAATATAGGATTAAATTTAGCTTCTGTAGCAAGGGTAGTACGAGCCCCTTGGGCAGACATTTGCTCTTAATGAGAAATAAGAAAAAAACATCTACTTTAAAGATTTGCTAGATGTTGAGGATAAATTATAAGACAAGGAAGGGTATGACACTACTACACCTGATGAAGCAAATGATTAAAGACTTGAAGTCAAGGAGATGGAGTAGTTTTTTAAATGTTACTTAAATCATTTGTTATTTTTTCAACAATATAATTTTTTAATTTCAATTTGTAATTTTTTTTATATTTTAAATAAAATAAAACACTCATTTTTTCCAATTTGTATTTTGGTAAGTATTTTATTTATTTCTTTGTTAGATTTTTTTATATTTTCAATGTACTTTAGTTTTACTTATAAAAATAATTAAAAAAATCAAAATCTCAAAAAAGCAACAAAAAAAAAAGTTTAGGCCATTTTGGCCCGGTTTGGCCCAGGTCCAAGCCCACAACATGGCCTACAGCTCGCCCGACCTAAACCTATAGCATGACATGGGTCCGCGTGGGCTCGAGCCATGGACTATGCCGGGCCAACCCCCTAAAATATCCCAAAGGAGGGAGGCACAGTGCGGGCCACCTGTGGTCCGTGCCGTGTTGGCCCAGCATGGCCCATTTTACAACTCTACCTGAAACATAACCCCAAGCTAGGTTTAAGGCCTATGATTTTCATTTACAAAACATCAAATATATAAAATAATATATTGTATAATATGTGTATAAATTTATTTTATATATTATATACTATTATAGGTGTCATACTATATTATTTTTATATAAAATATAATTATAACATAAAATAACATACATACATATTCAGAACAGGTTTTCCCTATTGGAAAATGATCACCCCCACTTGTATGTCATCATTTATATCATTTATAGGCATATGTTCCAAATGTACAGCCATAGTGTCTTGTGGGTAACAGATTTGGAGGTAAAATTCGCTATGCCCGAGGGCATAGCCTTGGGCTAAAATAGTAAAATCATGGCTTTCGATGTAGGGGATGTTTGGTATGGCTTCCGTTTATTGAAAAAAAAACATCTGTAGTTGATTTGTCTTCAAAACTGAGGAAGAGTGGTTGGTAAACATTTTTCTATTGTTTGTTGCAGGTAGGATAGTAAATAAACACCTTGGTGTTGGGGGAAACGTTAAAATGAAATCCCCCCCCCCCCCAATATTTTACTCATCTTAACTACTTAATTGGCATGTACTTGAATTGGCTATATGTTCTCACCATAAGAGTGTAAAAGACTTTCTTGTCAAAAAACATCTTTCTTGGGTACATGTCTCAAATCAATATGCTAATCACTAGAAGAGGCCAGAAATCAGCTTGGGATGGATGCTTCTCCAATTGAAATGGATGGTTCCATCTCTTCCAAGCGAAAGATTTGATATGTAAGACAATAAGGCCTTGTTTGGCAATGTTCTCACCTGTTCCTGTTCTCGAGATCACTCTTTTCAGGAACAATAGAGGCATTTGACATTTGTTCATTGAGAATGGATTTTTGTTCTATAGAAATAGAAATAATGTTTGGATAACTAAACTATTTCTTGCCCGTGTTTTGAACTGTAAATTTTTCATCATTCCACTATTTAAGGTAAACAGTAGAAGTGAGCAACATAACTACAAATATAAAATAAATAAAATGAAAATTGATGAGGGACAATTTGGCCCGTCCAATATGTGATGGCA